ATGCCAGCCGAGCGTTTTTCGAGGTTTGGTTTTCACGAATGAAGTATTGCATTAGTGAGGTCAGTGACATTGTGTCGTATTTTTAACGTCGTATACATGTAATAAAATTTACAAAACATTTTCTTACATTCACACAAATCATTCATTTCAATTTTATAATTCTGTCTATATATACACAAGGGGTCAGGCACCTATGTAGCCAATACTACCCTTAGACTGCCGAACAATAACTGATGATGAGATATATGTTTGCAGTATTTAGTTTGGATCTAGGTATATTTTTAATATCTAATACAGAAAGTAAATCGATGGGTCGTTCACCGTCAACAGCTTGTAGGGCAATAACTGGCAGTGACTGGTACGGTGTAAAAGGGTAGGAAGTCCTATCAAATTATGGTCCTACTTTCCATTGATTTATATGGTGACCTAAATACAACTCTTCCCCTTATTATCGTATCCACAATCAGTGCCAGTAAGGGCCTTTAAGAAAGGGGACCATAATCCCAAGGGGACCGTAATTTCTTTCACACCGGGAAGGAGTTAGGCCCAGTTCAATGATATAACGTCTTCGACTGCCAAGGTCTTCGAGCAACTGAAACCTTGTAAGTCAAGGTCAGGAGGAGTGAGTAGCTCCCATAATTCTTTCATATTCTATCGTATTCGGGGATTCCCCATTACATCATCTCTTGCATCATCACCAATCAAATTGCAGGATTCGATCACGTGAACAAACCTTAGCACGTGCTCTCTCAGTGCTGCGCATGCGCAAAGTTAAATTTGAAATCGTGGGAATGGCGTTAACATCAGTTCAACATCATCATTTCAAAGCTACGGTAATACTATTGAAGTTACTCGATCCATACTTGTAGAGAATACTCATAAAACTACAGCGAACATTTGGAGATCCATTTTAACGGCAAATTGAGGCCTGTTTATAAAATTTGTTTTCAAACGTGCTAATATGATAGGGCATCTTTGGGAAATCTCCCCCCCTGAGTCAAGGTGATGATATAATCGATCTTTGTTTTTTTCTCAAAACTGCCAGATGTGCCATCTATTTATATATGAGGGCTACCCAATCTATATTTGACGTGTAGTGGCGCATGCTTCTGAATAAGATTTTTTTAAATAACTAACCATCTGTCTCTGAAAAGAAAATATCAATATTTGATGAAGTATCAACTATTTGAATTACGTAAAAGTCTTAATCAGAAAATATATAATATTTCATATATGATACAATAACATCGATCTTTAAACACTTTTGTATCCGACCACCTCTCAATCTGAACAATTTTTATTAGTCTCACTTTTGTAATCTCCAGTCAGCGGCGTTCGGCGTATATAGTCAGGTTTTATTTTTTTGTGAATAAATTGATAATCTAAATCGTATGAGCAAAACATGCTTTAAAATTATTTTGCTTTGAAGTTAACACAACTTTCAGAAAAGGTAAAAAAAATTATTAAATTTTCCTCAATTGAAAGGGTTGCCCTTTTAACTAATCTTTTAACTATGAAGTCGTTTTTAAAATGACCTTTTACCATTTTGGAAATAATATATAGTAATCTCGACTAAATATTTGGTCTGAATCACAGGGTCGGAATGTATTAGCCTATTTCAAAGGGGTAGCGGTTTTTGGCTCTTTCACCCGAAGATGGCCGAAAATGGCCGAAGATACTTCAACCCCCATCCTCGGAAGAATCGGAATTTCGCTCAGCCATCTCCGGTTATGTGGCATTGGTGCTTTCCCTTTTTCAAATTGGGTGTCGACTTTTGGCAATCAACCGAAGATGTCAAGAAAAGCCGGAGATTGCCGAAGATTGCCGAAGCTTTTCTTTGCAAACGAAGTTGGCCGAGGGTACCACGAATATGAAGAGGACGACACTAATTGGTCAAAATAGGGGCTCGGCATTCTCCGTAAGATTGAATCGGCAAAATTCGGTTGTATGGCTTACCTTCGGTTGTATGGCTTACCTTCGGCTGCATGGCCAACCTCGATTGATTGGAAAAGATGCTGTCCCTTTTCAAATTGTCCCTGGTTTTGCCAATCCTCCTTGATATTCAACAATTGATTGGCTGCCGTTATGTGACGTACATAACATATCTATCGCCTCGCCTTCTGGCCGGGAGCTTTTTCTTCTATTTGAAGCTCACAAAATCGAAGGAATATATGGTAAGCTTATATTGGGTCACACAGCTTGCAAAGTTTAATGATTAAGGCTGTTGACTGAATCAATTTTTCAAGGCACGAACTCTCACCACTCAGTGAGGTAAATGTTGCCATGACGACTTATAACCTTAGCAACCTGTTACTTTGTAAAACTTGCACATGCAATTTACCAGAAGGGTTCAAATGGCACGTTTTTACTTTTTTGCTAAATTTGAAACTTGGTCGGCTTTCAATAAAAGAACATTTTACGTCATCATAGTACATGCAAAAGTTTCATTTGGTATACTCTTAAAAGAAAACAAATGCTGGAAAATGTAAAATGCTCGCAATTGTCAGCTTTCAGTCAGTCAACTAATCAAGTACTGTAACGGTCAATCAGTCACCAAACGACTGGAAAATACCAAAACCGTAATATTACACAAGCCTAAATAAAGAAAGGTATCTTGATGTCATGTTGAAGGACCTAGATGTGATGTTCTGCTCTAGACAATATTATATCTACGTGGTCTAGATACAGTATTAGTTCATGTTTTTTACCTTTGAAGTTTTGAATAGATTAATACCATACAGGGCGTAATATGGTTTGAGCATCTCTGGTCCAAGGATGTTTCACTTCTTTCTGAATTGAGTAATAAATGAAGTCTCTTGAATGAAGGATGACTTTGAGTTCCAGTCTCAAGCCTCCTTGATATCAACCAACGCGAAAATGTTCGGGATCGAGGAAATGGTGGTGCGCGACTAAAGATTTCACGTTCGCGATGTGAGAATCGTGGTTAGAGTGCATGGAACGTAGTTCGCGAGGTCATAACTGATGTTCCCGTTGGTGGAAGTCTAGGAGGCCCGAGTCTAATGCTCTATAATTAGCACATATTACTCTTTACATAACAATCATAGGCATGACGGGATAGCGCTTCCCCTTCTGCTATGACTGGACGATAATCTGCGCATGAGCTTGCTTTCTGTCAGGCTTTTGAAATAATATTGAGATTGATTTAACTTTGATTACACTAATTAAGGAATATGTTTTCATTGTAAAGAAACATATGTTTCTGGATAAGTTCTTTCCGTACGATAATAGCTGAACACGTTTTCGGCCACGTTTATTAAAGATAAGATTAAATCGTGTTAAGTAAGAATAGTTAAAGAGTAACAAAATAGTACTATAATTTCATTTTTACGCCATTTTATATTTCACGCCATACATCGATCCTACGAACGCTGATGTCTTCCTATGCAAGGTGAGCCGAGAAAAGTGCGACTTGTTAATAAACCTCTGTAAGTGGAACACACATGGTCCTTACACGTCTAGAGTGTCTCAATGAATTAACCCTCGCCTTGAATTTTCATGATGCCATCGCGAAAATACGTCTCGAGAAAATGCATTTTCCCTAAATGTCGTTTTCGTCTTAACATGAACAGTTTGGAGCATTTTGGGGCCACCCTGTAGCTTCAGTGTTTATTGAAATGATAGTGCGTTGGCGGACAATCCTATTATTCTAAAATAGTTTGAACAGATTGATTTTTACTTACAAATACAATGTGAACACGCTATTGTTGACATACTGTTTATGCTCCTACAAAAATATCCTTTTGGTGGTCCGTACTAATTGGAATAACGAGTCACTTAAAATAGATTAACACGCGGATGTATTTTTCACCAAAAGCTTCAGTTGAGTTATTTGTGAAAAGTGCCCACCAGGAATAGTCTAAAAAATTAATTTAGGTTATTATACTTGTTGTAGACTCTCGGGAAGACCTAACGTATTGAACTATGTTGGGAATTATTTTAATTTTGCTTAGATTCTTTTAGTCACAGTCTGACATTTTCAACCCTCATAGTACCTTCTAAATTCAAACAGAATTTATTTCTCAAACAACAAAACTTCGATATCGTCTGTCTCTTCTTTCAAATCACAAAATAATTTCTAATCAAAGATGTTTCAGATTTTTGAATTATTAGGCATTGAATATTTTGTGATCAAACTATTTTCCTTTGACCTGTCACTACCTAGTTCCGGTGCGCATTAATAAATATGCGGTTTGTGGTAATATTGTAGCACTGTATCATTGTGTTTTATGTGGATTGAATCTATTCATATTCAATATAATTATTCATATGCAAATATCAATGACTATCAACAAGTTTAAAGTCATGACGACTTTCAATACTTTCAATGTGGGATTATTTGCTCAACGTGGGTTATGTTAAAATCATATTGGCCCACGCTATATAAAAATGCGCCCTGTCAAAATGGAACCTAAAAAAGGTATTTGTAGGCAATGACATCCAGGGTTCCAAAATCCAAATCGCAACTGATAACCTGACTGTTAAGTTTCCGCGTGCTTTATTACATCATTGATGAATTCAACATATTCCTTTAAATGTCGTCTACACAATTTGTTGACTTAGGCGAAACAGATTGCTTGACAATGACATGTTGTTTTTAATCGTCTATTTTGAAGGAAACGCGCAACATTCTAGCTTCATTTAAAAATGCATCAAACATGGATTAATACGATTATAAAATATAACAAAATGTAATAGCATCCTCGATATTTGTAAAAATACAAGTATAAATCAAGTGCAACATTTGTACGAGTATGCAGTTAAAATAGCGTAGGCTCAAAAGCAAATACATATTTTTCTATATGTGATTTAACAAAATTCAATATGTCATACTTTAACATTGATTTATATTTTGTAATTTAATAGATTGATTTCATCATCGACAGCAAGCAGACGTTGGTGTTACTCATCTCGCCATTCTGTCCAATGAAATAGTCTAATAAATTGCCAATAAAATAGACTATCTGCTACGTTAATTTCAGATAAAACCTAGAGCTCGGGAAGCTAGCGTCAGATACAACAAGAGCCGATACTACAGCACTACAGTTACTGCTCAAGTCAAGGGTCTCACACAAACGGGAGATAAGGCGGCGAGTGGTGCGAAACTTCACTTCTAACAACTACTCGCATAAACATCCGTCGGTAGTATTTAGGGCGAAGGACGATACAAACACACGTACAAACTAAAAACAGAAGCGTTTGATATGAATATCTGAAGCATATGTTCACCGGACTGCAGTCATTTTAAGGTTAGTTTGAACATATCTGAATTACCCTAACAGTAACTAAAAATATGAAACAAGACATTGATATAACCGAACAGTTTGCGAATCTGTCCGTTCGTAAAAGTGAAGAAACCGTACACGTCTTGGAGAAAAAGACATACGAAGATTTTGAAAGGATACAAAATAGACTATTGGGACTACCAAAGGATATGGAGCGCAGTGCTTCGTTCACCTACAAAAAAGGATCGCGTAAAGGAGGACGTTATGCCGCTTCAAGAGCAAGACGATCAGATCGACGTCATACTGTTATTGTTGGGGAAGAGGCAAAACAAATCCAACAGAATTATGACTATGACACAAACACTCTTACAATTCCATCTGGATCATTACACACCAATGCATATTCCGAATCAGAACTTACCCTATATAGGGTGCGAAGTTTCAAAAAGACATCACGGGGTATAAAAAACAGAGGAGACAGTTTCAAAGTGAAGTCGACCAGTAATATAAGCGTGGCATCTTTAGATTCCGGCCACCATGAAGATATTTCACGCAAAAACAGCAGTAATTCCGACGGTTTAGACTTGGAGAACGATTTAGACAGTCCATATAAGGTGCTATTATTGGGAACACAAGAAACAGGCAAATCAGCACTTGCTCAACAATTCATGACGTCAGAGTACATGGGGGACTGTGATTCCTTACTAGGTAAGTCCCATTATCTTAATTATATGTCATTTTATGAGGTGACAAAATGAATATCCAATATCCCTAGCTCAACATATGATTCATATGTCAATTATTTTTATGATAAATAGTATCCATTCATCAAGAAATATAATCCTGTGGATGCGTTGTTTGGATTTCAAATTAAATATACCCAAACTCTGACATTATAGACAATAGTGTGTGATGGGAATAAATAGGATATCTACCATGATGATAAACCATGACATCTCATTTCTTTCCAACCTTGTTTCTAGTAAAACAGAAAAGATGCTATGAGTATCAAAATGGTCTTCGCCCTGGCTCTATGACGTATAGAAAGACACAATTATCTTGACAACAAAATTAATGTTACAGACGCTCTACCGAATAAACTCATCTTGTTTCACAGGGATTCAGTTGCTCCAAATTCTTGTTTGTAGATCTTAGAAGTCAAAGTTGAAGCCGTTTCATTCACTTCAGTTGTTTCAAGACTTGTTTTCTATGTAGTGTTTGCAAGACCTATACTAGCCTACGGATATCAACCGTTCAATCGCATCATATGACAAAATTAGATTGCAGAAGCATCATTTGTATAGAATTACGTAGGAACGCTAAATATGATGAAACGCTGTCCTCCGAACAATTGAGGTGAAAGCAAGGCAAATGGTAATCGGGTAATTGGTTTTGCATTACCTATGTATAAATACACGAGGTATCAATTCGACATAAGGTAACATCACTCAGGAATTCGCTTATCTCATCCATTCATGAAGAATTCGTTTATCCCATGCATTCAGAAGTAATTCTGAACCAGGAAACTGTACTATGAGTGAACATTTCTTTTGGGCATGGGTGAGAAATGCCGCTGAAGTGCATGATGACGTATTTTAGGATGACCCTAGTTCGATTCTGTCTTTTTACTACTATAGTTTTGCCTGATTCAATATATACGATCATCTGCCTTGTCATCAAAATGGTTCTAATTTACCTTCCCGTCTCGATTTCACAACCGACTCGTCGTCTCATGTGAATTCAAAGATATCGATATCAAAGTCACTTTTCATTATTCTTTGTAAAGACACCACGCAATACGAAAGGTTCACGTTCAAAACCTCAACATTTTTAATTATCCACATACATATGAAGAAGAATGTCATATGCCTCATACTACACATCAGCCAGATTCACGTTTTTATATCAAATGTGTGATAGTGGATGCACATGGATGGTCGATTCGATTACCATGCTGTATCTACCAGATGTTTTTTTCGATTAGGTATTGACGTAGATATAAATTAAGGACTCCTTTATATTCCATTTCAAGTCATCCGTCAAAGAAATATGTTGGTTTGACGTAAGAAGTAAGAGACATTTATTTATAGATTGGTTACACTGAACAAAGATGATGTGAATTGATCGATATTCGGTTCGGACGTTTCAACCTAAAACTTTGAAAATGAAGTCAGTAATCCAATACAGGTGATATACCAGATTTAGCCTAAATTTACTTCGTCTTTTTTTATAACCTAACTACACCCCTTGTAAAGGTACATCTTGATTCATCTTTTATTACTTGACTAGATAATGTTGGATGCGTTTAAAGTCAAATTATAGGGAACTTTAGTGACGTTTAATAGCGGATGGCTGTGAATGCGAATGTACGTCACTGCTCCTTTTCTTCTTTTGAATTTACGAGTAAATTATGATTTTAATGTTAATTTTACAATACATTTTTCAAGAGAAATCTAACTTAGTGACGTATCTGTTGTAGTTAATTGCAGGATTCAGCAGCCTGTGGGGTTGTAGATAGGGGGCATAAGTAGTGACGTATCTGATGTGATAATTTGCAGGATTCAGCAGCCTGTGGGGTTGTAGGGTGGGGGCATAAGTAGTGACGTATCTGATGTGATAATTTGCAGGATTCAGCAGCCTGTGGGGTTGTAGGGTGGGGGGCATAAGTAGTGACGTATCTGATGTGATAATTTGCAGGATTCAGCAGCCTGTGGGGTTGTAGGGTGGGGGGCATAAGTAGTGACGTATCTGATGTGATAATTTGCAGGATTCAGCAGCCTGTGGGGTTGTAGGGTGGGGGGCATAAGTAGTGACGTATCTGATGGGATAATTTTGCTGGATTCAGCACCCTGTGAGGCTAGAGGGTGAGGGCATGAGTGATGCGTTGACACGGTGGCGAACTTACCTAACCTGACTTTATGATTAATGATAACGGCAAATTCAATTTTATCAACTTCACGCACACAATGTTCGCATTAACAATGAATAATTTGTATCATCCAAATGTCAATCATCCAATTAAAATAGCTGTTTCATAAAACCTACATTGAGGTGTTCAATAAAACATCGAACGCTTCGACATGAACTTTCAGAGTAGTACGATAAGCTGCTGAAGCTGGGTTGTGAGTTATGATGATACAATTTGATCTTCTATGGATTATAAACCAGGTGGAGATCAGGCGGTTTATAATAATATAATGACATCTCGGCTTCACGTATTCACAGGTGTCGCCTTAATAAGTGTATTGTTTCACCGTTGCATGCAATATGCAACGATGGCTATTGGGGATAGGATGAATATAAACATATATATTATAATAAAACAAAGTACAATCTACTTAAATCAACAATTACAGAAATCCATTTGCAATAGAAAAAAGACATATCTGTATAGCTATATTTTTAGGATTCCTGAGAAACTGTCCCATTGTTTGTTTCTGGCATGAGGAAGATGAAATCGAAAGTTGACGCTCAAACTTCATTGAACTTAAATTTAGCCGAAGGAGTAAATCGTGTGTGTAAATCGACATTGGTTTGTTTTATTAGTTCAAAATGCCAATGCCCTTTCCTTCATTCCGCTTGTAATTTACTAAACATTGAAGTATCTCTAACCACCCATTTTATTTCATCGATCTCTGTTAGCTCAACATGCTTAATGGGCTCCATTCTATTATCGTGTATAGACTGAGTTCGTCGACATCACGAATTGCAATTTATTTGTCTACTTATTGTCTCATCATCTCGTTAAATGTGGATATATCCTTTACGTGGTATTTGAGGGTACAACATTGTTTTCAGTTAATACAAGGACAGAACAGAGCATATCTTTTTAAGTGCTTGTTTCCAAATGTTACCACTTGTGCACGCTCCACATTTACATGAGTGAGTTGACTATGTGGTTGGTGTAGTGTCATATTGACACGACATTCGTGATGTCATAATATGCCAATCTAGATCATAGGGCGAACAATATGTTAATGGAAACGAAAAGTAGCTTGACACGCGGAGGAGCTTGAAGTTATTAATTAATTGAGCAGTTCTTTGACTCTGAACCGTGAGTAATTAGAGATTTGATCAAACTAATCAAAGTTTATCTTGTTAGCCGATCTATTGGCAATACTCCATGCATGCATACTGTTAAACCAGTGTCAAGATGCCATACATGCGGGGATTTTATATTTTCTTGTACATGCCACCATGGGCATTCGACATTCTAGTTGAATGCCCAAAATGCCACTTGATAAAAAAATCTAAGCGAATCAGAATATTATTCATTTATATACTTTTGTCTCTTAGAACTTTGATTTACACATTCATAATCGTGTATTCGATTTCGTAGGCATTCAGTTTCATGTATCAAATTCACAATTGAACATCCACTACGACAACACTTCTATTCGCTGTATCTTGTCAAATTCTCCATGAAGAAATCTTTGTTTATGTACTTTATTTAAAAAGTGAAAATATAATTTGTGGAATCCAAAACCTAGATACTGAATCATCTACTATTCCAACAAACATAAACTAAGAGACGTGCCTGTCAAATGACATCTAATACAAATGGTACGTCTAATCTGCTTCGAGGTGATTAAAGAAATGACAAGCATGAATGACGTCACATTGGGATGATTGGTAACCAAAGCGACACTCCATCTGATTACGAAAGTCGAATTGCGTAAACTTTGTCGACGGATTACTTGACGCTTAATTTCATAATTTACCTATTTTCTCTGGTATTTCGATGTGGTTCGGCAAAGAACATCACTTAGAACCATGCATTGTCCAAGCATTTCGTTCAATGCGACCGTCCCCCTTGAAGAAGAGACGTAGGCTACTGAACGAAACTGCTCGGAAAACGTCTAATTTAAAGAGATTACAAGACGGTTGAAATTTTGTGTATGACGCCCACGCATAATTACTCACGGAAGATAAGATATTTCGGATAAATTGATGCTTTGAGTCATTTTTGATGTATTAGATTTGGGGTTAATACAGCCATAATGATGAACTACACGCAAGCGAGAAGACTGGCGCTGATGGTAAAGTACAAAACTTTGGATGGTTGATCGATGTTGATCATTTTTTGGCTGAATGTGTTTATACTAGTCGAGTCATTTGATTGGTATTCTGCCTTCAAATAAGTTGTAAAAATATTGATTTTATATACCCTTTCCAAAATAAATTAAATAATTAAAAAATAAATCGTTTGATTTTGCTTCTGTAAAATGAGCTCGGTTTTTTAATTCTTCCAGAAAGTTTTATTCAGTTTCACATTTCAAGGGTTTGAATTTATGCTTTGATATGATTTTGTTACGATTGTTACGTAAAGGAAAACATTTCTCAGGTGCAACTCGATCTTAGAATCCCAAGAATGTCAAACACGACCAGTGCCCCCAAAAGATGCGTAAAGGATTCGAGGATAATTCGTGACTCATCCAAGAATCTTATTTTTTATCGCTCTCGGTTTGAAATTACAAGAACAAAGATAAACACATCAAGATCAATTTTCATCCGTTGATGTCATTTCATTGAGTAATTGGGTAAATTTAGCATCACTTGGCTTCATCATAAAAAACGCAGTGACTCATCGTTGAGATTTATCCTCTCTTCGAATCTTCCAGTTGGCCGGGCAGTTCATTACGCTATGCGGAAACGCTAAACCCAATAAGTAGTTGAAAAAGTGACACTTCTAACTCGATTTGAAAAAG